CGATGATACTTACGTGACAGGATCGATTTCCTCTCCTTGTTCATTGTACTCCACCACCACAATCTGACCTGCGTTGTCTTTCTTCTCCTGCTTGCCCTTTTTAACACCGCCCATTCCGAACCGTGCTACGGCAGCCCCCTTTCTTCTAAGGCCCAAAAAGGCCTTTAATGCGCCAAGGCCCACTAGTATTCCCACAATGCTGGCGATGCCACCAGGCGTTGTCAGAAATTTAAGAACGTTGCCAATCTTCTTGAAGAAGTTTTTGACTTTGGTCCAAATATCTACAGCGCCAGTAAAGTCCAGCCCACTCTCTGACGGCTTTTCCTCATCCCAGTCTTTCTCGTCTCGATCGACGCATTTAAACCCAGCGTCATAGCACTGAGGAAGGGGGAATTACGCTATTCAGCGTTTTAAGTTACACAGCTGTGCTTATAATGTACAGATAATACAGATAATGAAAAGCACGTTGTATTACGAGACTGTTCTTGTGCTCTTCAGGGTTAATTCTAGTGAAGTATTTTTAAGTAGTTTAGCGACAATGGTACTGTAATGTAAGACCAGCTTTTCCCGTGAAATTTCGTAGAAGTATACGAAAAGTTTTCGATTCTTACAAGCAATCGCCGGGTAAACCAAAGTAGATTGTACGTCATATAACGTCATACCATGACGTCATGTTGCTTAGCAACTAATGCTGGCTCCGACGCGGCTCTAAACAACAAAAACACTGCGTGCAGTGGGCGAGAATTGCCTGATTTCAAACCGAAAAGGACTAGGTACGAGTCTATAAAATATGGGATTAGCAACTATTGATCCACATAGTCAGAAAGAGCGCACCGAGATTCATAAAATCCCCAAGTTTAGTGTTAATCAGGCTAGTTTTGACTGAGATACAGCCATTTAAAAACGTCAAAATTACACAGAAATATTTGGTCATCCACACACAGCGTGCGGATGGCCATACATATTATTGTAAATTTTGATGTTTTTAAATGGTTGTATCTTGCTTACTATTGGGTCTATATGCACCAAACTTGGGGATTTTGTAAAACTTGGTGTGCACTTTTTTTCTTTTTCTTTTTTTTTTTTGTTTTCTTGTGTGCACTTTATGACTATGTGGCTCAATAGCTGCTAATCTCATAATTTGTAGACTCGTACCTAGTCCTTTTCGGCTTGAAATCAGGTAGTGAATTTTCTTTTTTTATAACACGAAGGATACATACACTGCAGCCACATCCTGCAGCACACACACAAGGTGCTGTGGTTGTGAAGGTAACGTTAGCACTGTCAACCATCTTATGACGAGCATCAAACAGCTTCACTGGAAATCCAAGAACAAAATTTGTGAATGGAAAATAGATACATGTCCTTGTTGGTTCCCTGAACCACTCCCTCGCTCAAAGGATGAGACTTGATTCTGGTTGATTCAGAGCTGGTTGAAGCTCCGCTTTGACTACTAGCTGGAGTTGCGTTTCAATTCCTTGTACAAGCTTTCTCAGCTTTACATTTTGACGCGATAGTTACAAATTATCACAGGTACTTCACGAATCCCGGCAGTGTTACATCATCAAGCGAAGAGAGAACTGCTCCGATCTTCCCAGAACGGCGCTGCAGCCTGAACCAGAGATGATTGCATGCTGTACGCCAGGAGGGCGACACTCTTGCGATAGGCTAAATGGAACAAATAGCTCTTGTTTACAGGAAATAAATGCTGTATTGACCGTACTCCTTACCAATACAGTAGTTATTGCCCCCTTCCTTGCGATACGCGTGGATCCCAAACTTGAACATGTGTGTTTTCTGAGGATTTATAGATAAAGATTTCTCACGGAACTTTCCTACTGCGCCGGAGCATTCTGATATGACCACCTGAACAAAGAACCACACATTGAGTAACAATCTGCATGAATCAAGTTGAAGAAAGGAAATGACGCTTTCTCCCCCGGGGGTGGGGGGGGG